TAATATCTTGAAATTTCTCACGAGGATAAGTTTTGGTGCGTAGGCATGTTAAAACTGAGTAACGAGTTTGAAATCTAAGGGTGATACATGTATTTGGTTTAGGAATGTGTACTAAGTGTTTGAACTGTACTAAGTGGTACTAAACTTGCACAGTTTCGATTAGGCGGAAATGCGTACTATATTTGTACGAAAAGTACTAAATGGTACTAAATTTGGTATTTAATGGAGGGACTGAAATTTGATGTGGATGTCAATGTTGGTTGGTGTACGAAAACTACTTAATGGTACTAAGTTTGGTATTGGGTGAAGAAATAGATTTGAAATCCTGCAATTTAATATTGAGGTCTTCTTGGTATCTGGGATTGAGATTTGGAGGTGGGTTTGAAAATGAGTACTATAATCGTACGAAAAGTATTAAATAGTTACTAAAGAATAAGGCTGGAATCCTGAAATTTGATATGGATGTCACTGTTGGTTTCTTGAAAAAAAAAACGATGATATAGTTTTCGACAGAAGCAGTAGGTCTATTATGCAATGGTTATATACATAAGGATGAGGATGGGAAGTGGCTTGGAAAATTCGTCCTATTTTTGTACCAAAAGTATTAAATGGTACCAAATTTGGTAGTGGGTAAAGGGATAGATTAACATTTTTGAAATTTGATATTTAGGTAAGTGATGGTATCTGTGTGAGATTTGGAGGTGTTTTTGAAAATGTGTTCAAAATTGTGTATGAAAAGTACTAAATGTTACCAAATGTGATATTAAGTGAATGTATAGAGCTCGAAACTCAAGATTTGATATTAAGGTCTCTGTTGGTATCTGAAATTGACATACGAAGATTGTTTTTAAAATATGTACTTTAATACTAAATTTACTAAATAGTACTAAAGTACTAAATAGTACTAAAAATGGTATTGGGTAAATGGATAGAGCTTAAAACGTGAAATTGCATATTCCTTAACTTTTGATGTCTGGGATTGCAATATGGAATGGTTTTGCAAAATAGTACTAAAATTATACAAAAAGTACTAAATTTTACTAAATTTTGTATGAAGTGGGTCTATGAAGCTGGAGTCCCAAATTTTGATATTGTAGTTCGTTGGTATTTGGTGGAGGTTTTACGTACCATAAATGTTTGAAAAGCACTAAATGGAACTCATTTTGGATCACTGTTCGTGTTGGATGAAAGATGTACATTATTTCGGATGTACGTACTAAATTTTACTAAATTTGTAATTTGGTTAAGGGAGCTGAAATTCTGAAATGTGATTTAGAGGTTACTGTTGGTTTCTAGAGTTTACATACGGAGACGTCGAAACAGTTTTCGACTGAAAAATGGGATGTGGATCGACTGTGCAATGATTTTATAAATTTCATCTTTGGTAAACTTCAAAATGAAGAAATTTAAAGACTTTTTGGTGTAAAAGGGCTTTAAAATTCTGCTGAGTAGATTTTGAGGCGAAATTTATTTTTGCACAAAGACGAACAACAATATTATTTAGCAAACTACAAACAAGCACAAAAGTATTCTGGCGATACTTACGTTTGTTGTCTGCGCAAAAGGAAAAGCACTTTAAATTATGGTTTCAAATTAAAAATGACTCAGCCGGTCAACTTTGTTTATATGAAAATTCACAATATTTTTGATCTGTCGATCCACTTTTCTAAAACTCCAAGAAGAATAATGCTGGTTTTACAGATGTGACGACATCGATAGGTTTTAATTGTCGATATCGATTAGGTCCATGTCGATGTTGTTGGGTCTATTCCCAACATATTATTTTTTCTAACAAAACATTTGTATGCCGATTATAGGGACATGCCATGCCAATTTAATAAAACCTAATTAACAGATTGTTTCTTTTAGTGAAGCGACGACGAGCAGATCCTTAAGGTGATTACTACTGAACACCGACCCTACGCTCCATCTTATGGTGAAGGGGAAAAACTTGGTGGATTTTAATTTTTCTGCCGGTAATTATTTTAAATACCTATGGTGTTTGTAGGTATTTATTTTATCTCATCCCATTAAAGGATGTAAAACTGAACTACATTGTAATTACAATACAACTGTTTAAATCTAAAGAACCAGTTTTTTGGTGTACATGTCAAGAGAAAATAAAACAAATAACAACAATAATATCCTTTTGTTATAATAATCATTTTAAATTAGGCATTTTTAACATTCCACAAAATCGGCAACAAATGAAATTTAATTAACTAATAATTAGAGTAATCCAAGTTATATAAACTTTATAACGTCTATTAAAATACATGAATCAAAATCCTGTTGAATAATGGCCCATGCGGGATCCACGTAGTTCAATATTATAACAAGTTGAAAAGTATCAGTCGGTTTAGCCGACAAATATATACCCTCAAGCTAATGTTTAATTTTTTAAATATATTTTGACTTATGTTACGATTATTCAAATCGTTGACCCTCTTGGAGTAGGTTCCGAAGGATTGGGACAATATTGTTCATTTCGTATCGGTCCTAAATAAATATCATATAAATATTGGAACATGCCAGGTTTGGACTATATTGGTTATTTCCTTCACTTCGTATGAAATATGCAATCAAAGTATTCCATTTCCATACCTCATCTAATACAGATAAAAATATTGGAATGTGCAAAATTTCAAGAAAATCTAAAATTTATTTCCAATTTTGTGCGAAATCAAAAATTCCATATTCATCTTAGGTTGTAAAGAATCGCCGATTTGTTTCGCAAGATATGATAGATAAAAGTATTGAAATTTGTGACTCTTTATGGGTGAGTTACCAGAAGGAGTTTGCATCTTCACAACAGATGATGAATGGACTTTATTTCGTTTTCTTTGAGCGTTTTTCAAAATCTTGAGCCCTTTGTTGGGGGAGGTACCAGAAGGAGTGGACCGATATATACCAAGTCTTTCGTTAGTAGAAATAATGGGATATGTGAAATATGAGAAGAACCGGATGCTCATTTCGGATTTTATAATGGTTTTGGTTACTCAAAACTATGATCTTTTGTGGGGAGATACCCGAAGAAATGGTCCAATCTCTACCATCTTTATAACAGATCTTGTTTTAACGGAAATATTCAGATGTACCAAGTCTAAATGGAATCGGATGTTAGATTCGCTCTTTATGAGCTTCATGGATAATACAAATTTTGACCCTTTGTGTGGGAGGTACCAGAAGGAGTGGATCGATATACTTCATTTTCATAGCATATCTTGTGTTAGTAGAAATAATTAGATGTGTGAAATATGAAGAGAACCGGCTGCTCATTTCCGATTTTATAATCGTTTTGGTTATAAAAAACTTTGACCGTTTGTGGGAGAGGTACCAGAAGGAATGGTCCAATCTCTACCATCTTTAAAACAGATCTTTTGCTGATGAAAATATTAAGACGTACTAAGTCTGAATGGAATCGGATTTTAATTTCGCGTTTTATCAGCTTCATGGATATTCAACATTTTGACCCTTTATGGGGGAGGTACCAGAAGAAGTGGACCGGTATATCCCATCTTCACAGCAGATGAAGAGAACCAGATGCTCATTTCCAATTTTATAATCGTTTTGGTTATTCAAAACTTTGACCTTTGTGGGCGAGGTACCAGAAGGAATGGTCCGATCTCTTCTCTCTTTAAAACAGATTTTGTGTTTATGGAAATATTGAGATGTGCCAGGTCTGAATGGCATCGGAGGTTAGTTTCACGTTTATGAGTTAAATGGATATTCAAAATTTTGACCCCTTGTGCGGGAGGTACCACTCCAAATGTCCTCAAACAGATTTGGTCCAAAGAGACCTAGGGTCGATGAGGCACGTTTTGGCCGTATCAAATTATATAAACCCTCTCTAGCCATATGGCTGGGTATTAAAAATATACACATGTTCATATTTTGGAAAATATTGAAAATATCGTCTTTTTTGTTGTAATAAATCTTTGTGATTTTGTAATTGTTCGGCTGGCAACATTCAAGCTAATATACACAAGTTTTTATTGTTTCTAATTTTGTTTACTAATTAAAAACTATCACCCCCTGCTACCTCCACTTACCCAGCCAAGATAAACAATTGATTTGGTTTAAATCATAACGGTCTGAAAGTTTAATTAAAACTGTCACTAAATTGACTTTTACTACAACGGCAGTAAGATTCAAAACATCAACGGCAACAACAACAAAACAAACAGTCATGAAAAACTATTTTCCCAGCCCTCAATTAATGAATGAACAAGTGGCGGTCGGTTGCATTGATGCTGGGAGGACAATGGGCAAAAAAAATTGCCAACAAATGCAAGCTTTTATACAAACATTCATACATTTGTTTTTATTACTCAATTTTCCCCAAGAAAATGTTTCAATTGAAATAATTCAATATTCAAAGAGAAGCCCCAGAAGAGAACTAGTCATAGAATTGGAAGAGAAATCTTCAGAATAAAATGTGTGTTTTTCCAAACCATAACCCAACAAACAATTAGAACAACAAACAATTAGAAACCCCAAATGAGAGAGTCTGATCCATACCGGCATCAAGACACCCGAGAGCATTTCCACAAAATCCAATACGCTCTCATAAATTTTGCCGCTTTGGTCAGGGGGGCTTGGTTCATACAAGCGTTATGTCTCGTGCCGTAAGAGCAAACAAGTGTGTGCGATGAATCAAACCGCCGAACAGTATTTGTGTGTTTTGTTTAGATTTCGGTGCAGCTCCAAAACCCAGAAAACCCCCCCAAACCAGGTATCCAAACAATTGGACGAATGAGCATCTGTTTGTGTGTGTGTGTGTGAGTGTTGAAGAGGTATCTGCGACAAACTAAAATAAAACCCAAACAAAATAAACCAACGAACATGTCCACTCGTTTACGCTGTCTCGGTGGCTGGCTGACTGACTGGCTGGTTGGTTGTGTGCTTTTATTTTTAGTTGGAACTTTTTCGCGTATATAAGTAACTCTTCGGCCGGGGTTCTGATTAGTCTTTAAAACGCTCTTTTGTTTGAAACGTTCAAACGTTCACGACTATCAAACGCAAAGCTCAAGCGAATATAACTTACAAAAAATATAACTGAAATTTAAATCTTAACAAAAGAAAAATTGTTTAAAAAATATATTCTGAAAAATTAAAACACTTAAATTAAAAACTAAAATAAAAAATAAAGTGAAAAGTGAGAATAACATTTTTAAATCAACGAAAAAATAAGAAAAGTATGTATGAGAAAAAAATATTAAAAAAGACTCAACAAAAAATATAAATATAAATTTTTAAAATATGAAAAACCATATTCATATATAGAAAACATAAATAATATGCAAATATATATTACATTGCATTACAAGGAGTTAATGGAGTGGATTTAAATTCTATGGATTTTCCACAAAAAAATAAAGAACTTTTTTTAAATATTTGTCATATTATTAAAAGAAAAACAATGAATTTTAAAACTACAATATTTATAGTGAAATGCAAATCAGTATCAAAGGATATTCTTGTTAACAAAGGATACTGGCCTTGGCGAGTGATTTAAAGATCTATATTTAATGTATTTTTATTATTTTCAAATTTAAATTAAATGCTTCAAAACCTCAACACATTTCAAATGAAATCGCAGGATGTAAAAAAAGATTACATTTTTATCCCAATATACAAGGAATATCCCTCTACTCATTTCAATGGAAAATGGAATCATTTACAGACTTCCAATAAAAAATAGTGTTTTTCAAATAATTATCGAATTTTAAAAAATAAAATAAGGCAAAAAAGGATCGGCGTCACGGCTGTCAAAGAACAAAAAAATATAAGCATGTTAAGAGGACTTTATGTTTGGCCTCCGTTTACGAAGAAAACAAGCTCAACGATATCCAAATCTGTTGAAAACTATGGTGAAGGGCTTTAAATAATCTTGTGAAATGGGGTTCTATCGGCTAAAAAATCCAAATAAAAGAAAAGTATCAACAATAAAGAGCTATCACCAGTTTGGCCCCTATCTGAGTTTTTGAAGTACTATCTGCAAAATCCTGGGATCCATATTAAATGTTCGATCTACAGTGGGATTTATTGGGTGAAAAGCAAAACGTTAAATGTCTAAAAGACATTTTGCGACGGCTAGTTCTATGCACTCAGAATACAAAAGAGGTACAGGTATCTGTGCTAAATTTTAAATTACAACATAAAAGGATGTAGCCTCTATCTTAAACAAGTCTGCGAAATGGATTAAATTTTTATCAGACTCCGACTCCCGAGTCGGCTCCGAAACCAAAATCCTAATTTTTCAAGAGGAAGCGGGTGAAAATGATATATTTGATACGGCCAAAACGTTCCTCATCGAAATAACGTTTTTAGAGGTCTCTTTGGACCAAATGTGTTTCAGAACATTTGGAGTCGATCTAGCGATGTCCGTCCGTATGTCTGTCTACTGGCTGGTGCGCACTATAACTCTCGAAGTGTGTATCCGATTTGGTCCAAACTTGGTACATCATAATATTATTATCGGAGTTCGGATATGGGCAATATCGGTCCACTCCTTCTGGTACCTCCCCCACAAAAGGTCTACATTTTCAAACAAAAAAAAATAGTTTAATGCACAGAAAGAGAAAGGATAATCCCATTTTGCTCCAACTTTGCGAATACTAATATTTGCATCAGTGCTAGATCTGGTGCGAAAATGGACAGTATCGGTCCACTCCATGAAGTGCCTCTCCCACAGAGGGTCAACATTTTGAATATCCATGAAGCTCATAAACCGCCAAATTAATATTCCATTCCGACTTCGAACATCTCAATATTTCTATCAACACAAGATCTGTTATAAAGATGGTAGACATCGGACGATTCTTTCTGGTACCTCCCCCACAAAGGGTCAAAGTTTTGAAAAACAAAACGCTCAAAGAAAGTGAGATAAACATCCAACTCTCTTCACATCCAAATATTTTTGCCAACGCAAGATCTGTTGTGGAGGTGATATATATCTGTCAATCCTTTCGGCTACCTCACCCACAAAGGATCACAATTTCCAATACTTATATCTGTCATAACTTGCGAAACAAGTCGGCGATTCTATGCAACTTGATATATCTTAATATTTCTCTTATCCAAAAATCTGATATGAATATGTAATTTATTGCAATTTATGATTTCACATAAAGTTTTATATAAATGTTCGATTTCATTCAAATTTTACAAGATGTAGTATGGAAATGGAATACTTCGGTCCGCTATATCTGTTATTATTTCCATATTTCCACATTTTTCAAAAATTTGCACATATATCATATAAGGTATAAGAAATAGTCGATATAGTCCAAATATGGTTCGCTGTAATATTTATATCAGACTTAGATCAGATACGAATTGGTCAATATTGGCCAACTGCTTCGTAATCTCCCCCAGTTTTGAAAAATCATAATTCAGTGATTCGAAATGGGGGAACGTTTCTCCACTGGTTAACAATTGTACAAACAGTGCATATCATATAAGGTATAGTGCAAATACTAATCTGAGTCAGTGCTTTGAAATAGGAAAACGTTTCACCACTGGATAACGATGATACAAGCAGTGTATACTTATATAGTGGCCTCGTAGACAAGAAGAGTAGAAAAGAATATCCTATGGCTTTGTATTTCATAAAAATATTTTTTTTTTGTTTTTGCCCAAAGAATTGTGTCTAAAATATTGGGCGCCACTTTCGTCAACTTTTACTTGTCTTTCTAAGCGTGGCTGCATAATTCTTACTAAAACAGTAAAGTTGGACAAAGAATGCGCACAATATTTTAAAAAGAATATGACGACCAATATTTTAGGATTATTTGGCATTTCAATTCTCTAATGTCGTACGTTAATATCGTTTTCCAAATTCACCTCTTTTGGCCACGAAGTGTAACCATGAATGGTCAGTCTTTAGACTTTTCCATGTGGCCACTCATATTTATAAATTTATTATGGCACGGCTTTAAGAAATATTAACAATTATTATTATCATTACACCATGGCCGTTTTTATGTCGAAATCTTAAATTTTGACAGCGGCAACACCTTCTGTGGCACAAAAATTAAATTTATTACCTAAGGAAATGCAGGCTTTTAAACGGCATTGCAGCAACCGTTTGCACCAAAATGTTGTTCTCGAAATGGTTCTAAGTAACAAAAACAAAAAATAAAGCCAAAAAAGAGTCTTAAGAATGTCTTTACTAAATGGATTAAGAATAAATAAAATAAAAGAAATAAAACAGCTGTGGCAATTTATTGCATCGATTCCAATGTTTTTTTTTAATGCCATATTTTTGATACCTCCCAGCTGAGGTACATACTTCCAACAACAATAAAGTGTTTTAAATCCAGTTCCCACTTCTTAAGATCGAAATGAGAAAAAAATAAAGGAATTATTCATTCTTTCACTAGAAAATCTTACATTTAATTGTTCAACTAAATGGCCAGCTCCGCCATGCACAACAAATGCATTTAACATAAATGTATATGTATGTGTGTCTTTAATAAGAAAAATCCGTAGTGGGTTTCCAGAATTTGTGAATACCCTAATTATTTGCCATAATTTGTTGTTGTCTTATTCCGATTTTTTTTTCTCATTTCCGATCCGATTGACTCATAGCTTCTGGCTTAAGTCTAGAACTAGAATATCAAATGCTAATTGTCTTCTGTCGTCCCAATTCGAAGAAAATGCAGTTTCATGAAATCCTAATTGATTTGAATTGAATTAAGCCCATTGTGAATGTCATTTTTGTTTTTGGAATAAATAAATAAAACAAAACTGCCAGCCAGTGGACATCACAAAGGTATGGGTAATGTATTAGGGCGTATCTGAGAACTGCAAATAGTTTTGTTACAGAAATTCCAAATATTGCATCTGTTTTGATTTCGCTTCAATTTAGTTGATATGCAAATTATTTATACATATTGCAAATAGATAATAGATTATTAAATAAACAAATGAAAAACAAAAAAAAAAGCAGAAATTTAAACTTGTTTTCTAATATTCCCAGTTAATTGTTAGTAAATACATTTTTGCGGTTATTTTTTTTTTTTTACTTGAATTCTCTTTGATAAATGAATGCTTCTGCTATTAATCGAATTAGCATTTTTGGTTTAGAAACTTAAACTGGACTTGATTCTAGCATTTTGTGATTTGACAATAGCTAGAATGCAAAACGATACGGGTAATTATTTTATTTGGTCACTAAAGTCCCAATCAAATATTTTTTATTCAAAATTTTTGGGAGAAAAAATTCTAAAATTGTTGCAGTGTTGTTTTATTGTTTTTAATATCCTCATCCATCTAAGTCTCTTTGGACCAAAAATCACTTTCAGGACATTTGGAGTCGATCTAGCGATGTCCGTCCGTCTGTCTGGCTGGCTGGTGCGCACAATAACTCTCGAATTCGGAGATGGGCAATATCGGTCAATTCTTACTGGCACCTCTCCCACAAAAGTTCGAAATTTTAAAAGAAAATATTTTGCTGCACAAAAAGAGAAAAGATGATCCGATTTTGCTGCAACTTTGCCAATAATAATATGTGCATTAGTATTAGGTCAGGTGCGAAAAACGGGACAATATCGGTCCACTCCATCAAGGGTTAAATTTTTAATAATTATAACTCATATAAAATGTGAAGTAAGAGTCCGATTGTCTTCAAATTACTCACACCACATTATTTTTTTACCCAAGGTCTGGTCAACTCCTTCTTGTACCTCCCCCACAAATTTGGCCAGAATTTGGAATAGCCATAAAGCTAGTAAAACGCGAAAAAAAGCATCTAATTCTCTTCAAATTTCACACATCTCAATATTTTTACTAACAAAAGATCTGCTGTGAATATGTGATATATTGGGACCAAATTTTTTTAATATCCATGAAGCTCATAAAACGCAAAATTAACATCCGATTCCATTCAGACTTGGCACATCTTAATGTTTCTATCCTCACAAGATGGTAGAGATGGGACCATTCCTTCTCGTACCTCCCCCACAAAGTGTTAAAATGTTGAATAACCAAAACGATCATAAAATCCGAAATAAGCATCCATTTCTCTTCAAATTACACACATCACAATACTTTTATTAACCCAAGGTCTGGTGTGAAAATGGAATATATCGATTAATTCCTTCTGGTACCTCCCTCACAAAAGTCAAAATATTGAATATTCATGAAGCTCATAAAACACGAAATTAAACCCCGATTCCATTCAGGCTTGTCA